ACATATAGTTGGACCATGTTTTTTGATCTACTCTGACAATGTCTTTTAATTGGTAAATTTACACCATTGACATTCAAAGTGATTATTGATATAGTTGGATTAATATCTACCATATTCATTACTGTTTTTTATTTGTTGCCCTTGTTCTTTGTTCCTATTCTTGTCTTCTACCCTTTTTCTGCCTTATGTTGTTTTAATTGAGCATTTTATATGCTCCATTTTCTCTCCTTTCTTAGCACATCAGCTTTACTTCTTTTTTTACTTTTTTTTGGTGGTTGCCCTAGAGTTTGCAGTACAGATTTACAACAAATCCAAGTCTACATTAAAGTACACTATACCATTTCACAGGTAGTATGAGTACCTTATAATAACAAAATAATCCTAATTCCTCCCTCCCACCCCTGTATCATTGTTGTCATTCATCTCACTTATATGTAAACATACATAAGCATGTATATATACATAAGATATAAACATAAACATATATAACCAAATACACTGTTGGTATCATTTTCAACAAACTGTTGTCTATTAGATCAATTAAGAATATGAAAAAATGTTTTATTTTACTTTGACTTATTCCTTCTTTGATGTTCTTCTTTTCCTTAAGTAGATCTCAGGTTCTGACCCATATTTATTTTTCCTCTCTCTATAGAATTTCTTTTAATATCTCTTACAAGGCAGATCTATGGGCAACAAATTGCTTCAGTTTTCGTTCACCTGAGAAAGTCTTTATTTCTCCTTTACTTTTGAAGATAATTTCAGAGAGTACAGAATTCTAAGTTGATGGTTTTATTCTCTCAATACAAACATTTCACTCTACTTTCTTCTGCTGGCCTGGTTTCTGAGGAGAAGCTGGATATAATACTTATCTTTGCTCCTCTATAGGTAAGGTGTATTTTTTCTTTCAAGATTTTTTCTTTATCTTTGATTCTCTGTAGTTTACAAATAACGTACCTAGAGGTCATTTTTTGACAATCATCCTATTTGGTGTTCTCTGAGCTTCCTGGATCTGTGGTTTGGTGTCTAACATTAATTGTGGAAATTCTCAGACATTATTGTTTCAAATATTTCTTCTGTTCTTTTCTTTCTTCTCCTTCTGATGTTCCGATTATGCATATGTTACACCTGCTGTAGTTGCCCCACAGTCCTTGGATATTCTGTTCTGTTTTATTCACTCTTTGTTCTCTTTGCTTTTCAGTTTTTGAGGATTCTATTCCACTCTATTCAGGATTCTATTTCTACAGCCTCTAGCTCAGAGAGTCTTTCCTCAGCCATGTCCAGTCTAATAAGTCCATCAAAGGCATTTTTCATTTCTGTTAGAGTGTTTTGATCTCTAGCATTTCTTTTTGGTTCTTTCTTATGGTTTCCATCTTTCTGCTTACATTATCCATCTATTCCTACAGTCCCTCTACTTCTTCCATAGAGCCCATTGCATATTAACCATAGTTCTTTTAAATTCCCACATCCCTGCCACGTCTGGTTCTGACGCTTACTCTGTCTCTTCAACCTGTGTTTTTTGCCTACTGGTCTGCCTTGTAATCTCTTGATAGTTAAACATGATGTACATGATAAAAGGAACTGTTATAAATAGGCCTGTGGTCATGTGGTGGTGAGGCATAGGGGAGGGGAAGCATTCTATCGACCTGTGATGAGGTCTCAGTCTTTTAGGGAGCCTGTGCCTCTGGACTGGGAACTTCTCAAGTATTTCTCAGTTTTTCTTCTCTCTTAGATGGGACAGGATGGCCAGAGTGGGCTAGAGCTCCCCAGGGTCAGTTAAGTTCTGGTTAACTACTCTCCCCTGAGGGCAGGCCTTGTTAAGAACAGTAAACTCTGATGTATTTCAGAATGGTTCTTTTTCTTCTCACCCTACTGGAAGCCCAAAGGGATTTTCCTCCTCCATTTACTGTATAAATCTGGTACAGCTTCTGGAGGCAAATTTCACATTGCGGGTGGAGGGGCTCCATATGAGTGGGTCTCCTTATGGTTCTCAACTCCCAGAGTTATTCACACTGAACCCCGAGCAATTCGTCGATCATAGGTGACATTTTCCCACCCCTGCTCTGGCTTCAACTCTGTACACCATGACTCCCTGTATTTGCCCTTCTGTCCCTCCAGGCTTGGGAGCAGTGATTTTCTGTGTACCTCTCCTTTCTTATGGATGCAAAATGAGTTGTAGAATTTCCAAGTCTGTTTACCTCTTTACTTGTTGTTAGGACAAAGTGGCAACTTCAAGCTCCTTACTTGGAAAACCAGAAATCGCAAGACAAGTTCAGACGGTTTTTGTTTCCCTATAATTTGATTTTTTTTTAAACTAAGAGGTGTCGATTGGGATTGACATATATACACTAATATGTATAAAATAGATAACTAATAAGAACCTGCTATAAAAAAAATAAATAAAATAAAAACTAATAGGTGTTAGAAATTGCTGACAACGCCTTTCAGACCCAAAGGTAAAGCCACTGCCAGTCTAATGCAGCCACTGAAAGCTCAAAGAAACACAAGTTTTAATGTGTGCCACCCATCGGTCATGTCAATTACATCAGTCTGACCTGTCTTCATCTCCAAGACCTGAACCCCTCTCTGGTGTGTGTCGAGTGTTCTAGCTTCTCACTGGGAACAGCAGCGCTTCCACTGGTGAATTCCAGTCACCCGCCCCACAGTCAGATCCTTTTCTACCTCCTAGATTTCAGTCTACCAGGCCGCCCAAGCTCAATTCCTGCCAACGCTCAGGGCGGAGAAGCCACAGCAGAGCTGAGTAAGATTTCTGGATGGCAAATAATGCACTCACCTTAAAAGTCATTTTTTAAATTACACAAGTAGATTATCTTTCAGAGAGTACAGTATGAAAAGGGAAGGGGGGGAAAAGAGTAAAACTTTACAGTGGCAAGATCTGACAAACCCTATCTCAAGCCAAGTGATGAAGTTTAGCATCAACAGGAGTAAACCAGGTTGATAACATGTATCTTTGATATAATGTGATGAGAATGATACTTTAGGTCTGTGATCTTCCTCCCAAAAACACATGACCTCAGTCTAATTATGAGGAAAAAGAACCAGACAAATCCCAGCTGAGGGACATTCCACAAAACAAATGACCAGTACTCAAAACCAAGGAAACTCTGAGAAACCGTCACAATCAAGCACAGCCTAAGAAGACAGAATGAATGATTGTACTGTGGTGTCCTGAATGGGACCCTGGGACAGAAAAAGGATATTCCATAAAAACTAAAGAAATCTGAATCAAGTATGGACTTTAGTTATAACAATGTATCTGTATTAGATTATTAATTGTGACAAATGTATCATTCTAATGTAAGAAATTAATCATAGGGAAAACAAGTGTGGGATATACAGGACTCTCCACACTATCTTCATAATAATTCTGTAAATCTGAAACTATTGCACGGTAGAAAGGTTATTTTTTAAAATCCTAATCACAATTAAGTTTTTTATTCACATACACATTCAATGACATAAACACTAAAACTTTTGGACAATATAAAAATTTGCAACTCTAACATAAAAATAGCAATTAAGGGAAAGTATCTGTAGCAAATAGGACAAAGTATGAAGGTGTATATAAATTTTAAAGTTCATAAGTATGTAAAAAAAAATTGAGAAAAAAGTTAAATAGGCAAAAGAAGACTAGAATTCATACAAAAGGAAATGCAATGGACTAAACAATGATTATAAGAAAAAAAATTGGGGGGTTGTGTGCACCACATGGCTTGTAGGATCTCAGTTCCCTGACCAGGGATTGAACCCAGGCCACGTCAATGAAAGCCTAGAATCCTAACCACTAGGCCACTAGGGAACTCCCAGAAAAAAATTTTAAGACAAAACAATTAGGTATCATTTAAGCAGCAAAATGGTTTCAAATAATACCTAGGGATGATAATGCTACATTTTAAACCACTTCACTTATACGCAGTTCACAGCCGTGCAAACTGGTGAAACTCGTTTGAAAGTGCTGTGGACTGAATAGCGTCCCCCCAAATTTCACATGTTGAAGCCCTGATCCCCAGTGTGATGGTGTTTGGAGATGAGGACTTTGGGAGATAATCAGGTTTAGATCAGGTCTTGAGAGGGGGGCCCTCATGACTAATGCCCTTATAGGAGGAGACCCCAGAAAGCTTGCTCTCTCGCTCTCTCTCCCTCTGCCATGTGAAGACACGACGAGAAGGTGACCATCTGTAAATCAGGAAGAGAGCTCTCACCAGAACCTGACCACACTGGCACCCTGATCTCTGACTCCAGAACTGTGAGAAAATAAATCTCTGTTGTTAAAGCCACCCAGTCTATGGTATTTTATTATGGCAGCCTGAGCTAACTAACACAGAACGGCAACTTGAGAAATATCACATTAAGAATAAAAATATTCATCCCTTTTAATCCAATAATTCTACATGGGTGAATTTAACCTTTTGGAGATATTCAAAAATATGATAAAGCTATACACATCAAAATGTTCACTACTTAGTTTTAAGTTTTTAAACCAGTGAAAAACTAAATGTCTAACAAAGGAGAAATGAATAAGTAAATTGCGATGTTCCATTTGATCTCATATGATGTCATTTAAAATCATTACAAAAATTATGTAGGCTTATAGGAAACGCTTATAATAAAACTAAGTGCAAACCAAAAGCAAAAATCTACAATATGAGGCTAACCATGTAAATAAATATGGGCAAGATGTAAAAGGGTTAGCTATAAACAGATAAAATTTAATTTGTTGGAAAACATTTTTTCTTTCATTTTAGTTTAATTAAGGTTACAAGAAATAAGACTCAAAAATATATTTGATAGTAACTTTAGACAGATCCTTTCTTAAGCTTAATCACATCCTAACTGTTAAATTATGAAGAAGTGAATTTTTCCAACAATAGCCACTACACTCAAAAAATTCAAAAAAATGAGAAGAAATATTTACATTTCTTATAAGAAAACCGTCAATTTTTCTCTACTACATACTTTTTCATTATGTTACTACTTACACAGAGAGGGTTTCCAAGGCATCTTCAAAGATATCCTGGGGGGGAACAAAAAACACAATGAGTTTCTCAAGAATCAAGAAATTTAAATATAAAAGAGAGTGTGTGTGTGTGTGTGTACTCCCCGTGTGTGTGTACTCCCCATGTGTGTGTGTGTGTGTACTCCCCGTGTGTGTACTCCCTGTGTGTGTGTACTCCCCGTGTGTGTGTGTACTCCCCGTGTGTGTGTGTACTCCCCGTGTGTGTGTGTGTGTACTCCCCGTGTGTGTACTCCCAATGTGTGTGTGTGTACTCCCAATGTGTCTGTGTGTGTGTGTACTCCCCATGTGTGTGTACTCCCCGTGTGTGTACTCCCCATATGTGTGTGTGCGTGCGTGTGTGTGTGTGTGTGTGCGCGTGTGTGTGTATGTGCGCGCGCACCTCTCAAGGCAGAGTGGGGACAGTTTGGGTGGGCTGCAGTAGAACCATTCCACTTAACTCTTACTAATGGCATTCCTTTCAGAGAAACCAACACGTGAATTTAAGTGAGGTTTAATTTAGGGTTGGTTTTGTCACTAATAAGACGAGTAAGCTACTCAGCCAGCAATCAGACTGGGCGAATCTGAAGAGAATGTGACTCCTTCAGTGGGGTCTTCACTCCTCAGTCTCATCCAACCCAGAGCAGAATAAAACAAAGAACAGGACCTGCCCGATTCAGTCGTCTCTTTCTCCATGGCTGGCCACGTTAGCACGTCTGGGCCTTCGTGTCACGTCTAACTCCACTACCCGCCCAGCAAGTCTCCCTGTCAGCAGCCTTTATCTGTAGCGTACAGGGCAGCCCTTTCCTTCATGCCACTGGCCTGTTCAAAATCTGCAACAGGAGAAAAACCCAAACACACACACATACACACATAACACACACACTCACATCTGCTCACAAATCCACACATGCACCCCACGCTCATACACATTGGCTCATACACTCAGTCTCACCCCTAAACTCACAGTCATACACAAACACACATACACTCACTCACTCACAAACTCACACTCACACTCAAAGCTCCCTCACAGCTGCAAAAATCAAATCCAAGCTCCTCATCCAGGGATTTGGGACCCACCATAACCTAGTCAAACCTTCAAGGCCTCCTTCTCTCACATCCCTACCACCTTCGCCACAGCCAAGCACCAGGACCTCACTGGTCTCCCTACTCCCAAGCCTGACATCTGCCATTCAGCTCTTCACACAACAGCCGCAGTTATTCTTTCCTTTCCCTTCTTTTAATAAGCTCATACCATTCCACTGCTTTAGACCGCTTTAAAAGCTTTCCATTGCACTTAGAATAAACCCAAATTCCTTCCCATGATCTACAAAGCCCTAAATGACCCTGCCAGCCTCTGTCCACCTCTCCACCCACCAGACTCACTCCACTTCAGCCAAAGGTCTGTCCTTCTGGTCCGTGCACAAGCCAAATTCATCCCACACCTCTCTGCATTGTCTCTCTTTCCTAGAATGTTCTTCACTCAACTCTTCCTATGACTGACTCATTCTCATCCTTCCATTTGCAGTTCAGAAAGCCACCTCCTCAAAGAGACCACTTCTGATAATGCTAATTAAAAGTACTAATAGCAGCTTACTTATAGTTTCCCATCATCTGATTTCTTTCATTCATAATACTTATCATAGCCTCTAATCATCTTATTTGTTTTCTTGGTTACAATCTATCTCCATTAGGACAGGTTCTCATTTATCATGTTTACAGAGAAACCGCCAGGGCTTGGCACAGAGCTGTTGCTCAACAGCTACATGTTGCCTAATGAATGAATGAACTGAGCTTGGACCATCAAAGCACTGATCACATCACCTCATTTACAGATAGGACACAGAAATGAGGAAGGAGGGTTACAGACCTTTTCCCTCATGTGACCATTAATACTGAACAATGTATACAACATACTGATTCTGCATTTAGGCAGGAAAGGAAAAAAAATGTAAATACGAAAAAGAAGAAACAACATTATAAGTAGTGGCAGAAGTGAGTTTAGAATGTGGGATCCCTGACCTATTGATCTATATTAATACCATACTCTGTGAGGGAGGCACAGTCAAGGGCAATTCTTTCTTACTCCTCACTCTCCAGAAACTAGTGATTGGAACAATATCAGAAGACTTTGTCATTTTGAATCACAGCTCAGTGTCCCACATGTGAGGGGTTGTGGAGAAGGGGAGAGACGAATACTCTCCAGGAATACAGCTCTGGTAGTGATGACCTGTTACCTGTGCCAGACACCAGCTCATGGTCCCTCTGCCATCCCTTAACCCCACCTGGGCTGACCTGTACCAGGAAGGGGAAATGCAGAGAGCATGCCCCTCGGAGCTTCTGTGCATCCAACCCCTTCCTCACAAACCTCAACCCAGAGCAGCTCACAGCAGACACTGAGATACTGAGTGGGCTTCAGAAAGGATAACTCGGAAAGCCAGTTCTCCTTTTAAAAGGAGACAAGGATAATATTTACACTTAAACAAGTAATACCCCCATCCCCACCTCAAAACAAGAAACACTAAGTTATATCCAGTAAGAAATCATCTTCACTTGAGGAACATCTCTCCATTTTGTCATATGCAGAGGGTTCTCTAAATAAAGCATTCTGTACAACGTGGTAACCAGAGTTAACAATACTACATTACATATTTGAAAGTAGTTAAGAGAGTAGATTTTCAAAGTTCTCATCACACACACAAAAAGTTATAACTATGTGAGGTGATGGATGTGTTAACTAACCTTACTATGGTAATCATTTCACAATATATGCATATATCAAATCGCCAAGTTATACACCTGAAACTCACACAATGTTATAGGTTAACTACATCTCAATAAAGCTGGTGGAATTTTTTAATTAAAAAAGAATCTTTTAATTTTTAATTTAAAAATCTATTTTTTTCCACTTAAATGAATAATAAAAATTTAAGAGAATGCCTCTCTTAGTAATGGAAAAAATCCACCAGAGTTCTAGGATATTATTCTAATAAACTAGAGATGAGAAAGAGAGAGTGAGAGAGGAAGGAAGGAAGGGAGGGAGGGAGGGAGGGAGGGAGGGAGGAAGGGAGGGAGGGTATTGACTTAAAAAAATGCACAACGTAAGAGTGGCGAGTTAAGTTTGATTTGGGGCAATATGAGGACTGCAGCCCAGGAGACAGCATTTCAGATAACTGAGAAACTGCTCCAAGGAGGCGAGGGGAGGAGCCATGATATATAGGAGTTTTGCAACAAAGGGCAGGTAGTCTGGAATGGCAAAAGATTATTGTTAATTAAAGAAAACCAGATATCTCAAGTTAAAGAATTTAGCGCTTTTGTATATATGGGAAAATGCAAGAGTCTGGGCTCGCTGAAATCATTCCTTTGATGTGCACCTCAGATATCTGTGGCCAGTATCCTGTATTTTCACATCCTGAGTTTCCTCAGGGCTCACCGCAGGGAGTGGCTTCATTCTGATGGCTGCTAGATGGCAGGTATTCTTTTCAGCCCTGAGTTTCCTCAGGGCTCACCCGCTCACATTGGAGGGCTGCAATCGTTGATGACCGTGACATCCTTTGTTTATTGATAAGGCAGGAAATACTCCATTTACAAATATTCCATTCCATTTATAAATATTCCACTTATCAAGGGGAAGAAAACTTTGTCTCTGAAGGCCAGACAAAGGGTAAACTTTTTTCACTTAAGAAAAAGGAGAGGTAAAGAGAAGAACTAAGACTTAACGAGTGCCTATCATGTGTCAGGCACTTTACAAAAGCTCCTCCCAATTGGCAGCAAGCAAATCCAGTCGCAGGTAACTGCCTGCCCAATATTACACAGCTGGCAAGTGACGGAAGTGAGATTCACCCTCAGATTTCTTTAACGCCGAAGTCTTTTTTTCAATGTTAATAAAACACATCCAAAACTTGGAGCTAAGGCAGTTGGGCAGAAGTGGAGAGTGGGTGGGTGAGGAGGTGGCGGCATATCTCTGCAGGTCATACTGCATGTTGTTACACAAATCCTCCCAAGGATTCCTGAATTCTCTAGGAGAACTTCCTTGTGTTTGAGACTTTTCTATTTACTATGAGATTAGAAACCAGATACTGTGAGATGACATGTTAGCTTGCAGATTTCGGAATGGTGAGAAAACCTCAATGATTAGCTTTATAGCCCTGTAGGACACTATCCAGTTTTACCTGTAGCCTAGCAATCTTAATCTAACACTGTTTTTGTTTTAAGCCTATAAATACCCAGTTCCACAAATACCCGGAGAATCAGTTTACCACCTCACTGTTTTCCTCGTTGATAGGCTACATAAAATTTCTACACGTTCACTTTATATCTTTATGAAAGTCATATTTCTAATTTTTGGAAATTATATTTTTAAAACATCTTTATTGGAGTTTAATTGCTTTACAATGTTGTGTTGGTTTCTTCTGTATAACAAAGTGAATCAGCTATACATATACATACATCCCAATATCCCCTCCCTCTTGTGTCTCCCTCCCACCCTCCCTATCCCACCCCTCTAGGTGGACATAAAGCACCAAGCTGATCTCCCTGTGCTATACAGCAGCTTCCCACTAGCTATCTATTTTACATTTGGTAGTGTATATACGTCCATGCCACTCTCTCACTTCATCCCAGCTTACCCTTCCCCTTTCTCGTGTCCTCAAGTCCATTCTCTACATCTGAGTCTTTATTCCTGTCCTGCCCTAGGTTCATCAGAACCATTCTTTTTTAAGATTCCACACATATGTGTTAGCACATGGTATTTGTTTTTCTCCTTCTTACTTAACTCGGTATGACAGATTCTAGGTCCATCCACCTCACTACAAATAACTCAGTTTCATTTCTTTTTTTGTTGTTGTTTTGTTTTGCTTTGTTTTTTTGCGGTATGTGGGCCTCTCACTGTTGTGGCCTCTCCCGTTGCGGAGCACAGGCTCCGGATGCGCAGGCTCAGTGGCCATGGCTCACGGGCCCAGCCGCTCCACGGCATGTGGGATCCTCCCAGACCGGGTCACGAACCCGTGTCCCCTGCA